TGTGTGTGTGTAGTTTCGCAATTTGCAATGGCGTCCCTGAAAGTTTGGTACCCGCTTCGGGTGCTTGTACGTTTTTCTTTAAAACATGTACGTTTCTATCCTGTCAGCTTTTCCGTTAAATGGCCGTTTACTTGGAATAGCAACCAACTAAATGCTGACACGTCCACGATTGATGGATAGTGCATCGCCATAATGAACCTTCCAATTGCTTCTATTTCCTCACTATATGGGATCGAACGGATCGGATTGGATTTAATGTTTTCGATAAATTTTAAGATTTTTTGGAAATGAAAATTTAATTTCTTTTGCTATTCAATTTGGAGGTTTTTCGACATTTTAGGAATTCCTTTTTTTTTTTTAATTCATAGCAACTTGCCTACTTAAATGATTTTAAAGAGATTCAAATAAATTTTAGAAATTGAAATGAGTTGCATAAATAAAGTATATAATATAGCTCATTCGCGAGGAAAACTTATTGAGACTACATGTATAGGTTGCGGTCTACACATCTCAAGCAGTGTTCTAAATATTGATTATGCTGATAGATGTATATCGGTCACCTAGATAGCGCCGGATGTAAACCTATACAATTTTTGGGTGCTGATTTGTGGCGGTGTGTGACTGATTATTGAGAAAGGTCAAATTGATATAGGGTCAAACTTCTAGGAATAAATCGAAAAAAATATTGATTATTCTTTCAGCCACCTCCAAGTCACCAATCAGCCCCTGCAAAAAAGGAAAAGTAAAGAAGAACCTCCCAACTTACTAATTCAAAACAAACCACAACCGACCGACGATTTCTACAGATTGAGGCGGCATAATTTTGAATGCGGAAGATTTGCATTTTATTTATTTTGCAAGAATCTTTATTATATTATGATCTTGTTATTGTTAAACTTTTGCACATGATTAGGATATATAAATGACGGGGACATAATCATGTTTAAGTAAGTTTTTATATATGTTTTGAGTATTGACAATAATATATATTACACTAAATTTTAAAAAAATTAATATATTTTGAATTTATCTCCAATTAATCATCGTCTCGCAAATTTATCGTGTGACAGTCTCCAAACACCAGGGGCAAAGCCTGAATCATTTGGTTGGGGGTGGGGGGGAGGGTGAGAATTCAGAGAAAAAAATAAACTACACGTTTATGAGGGACGGGCAGTGGGCAACGCCCCTAATTTTTTTATTTTTTTTTTGGGATATGATTTTGAATAAGCAACAATAAATAAGTAAATTTGAATATGTAGCAAATAAAGCCCACTATTTTGAAGAACGTCAATTATGGGTATTGTTAACAACTACTGATGACTTTCTCAAAAAAAATATAATAATCACGTAA